GTGGGTGAAGAAATTCCTACTTCCAAAGTGCTTTGGGAACCACTATAAGAAAATGCCAGATTATTGTGTGACTTCTCTGGTACCCAGGGGTGGAGAGCAGGGGAATGGGTGGGATTGTGCCAGAAGCAGCAACTCCTGATCGCCCCCCTCCCCCCCCACTTTTCTCCCTCTCTCTGATGACGCTGCCCTAGGCGCAGACAGCTTGGGGATGGGATGGAGGTGGCAGTGCAGTGTGGGCTTGTGAGGCTGGCATTAGATAGGGTCTGGTGGGACATGGATTGCGAAGGGGTCCCCCTCCCACCACTCACCAATGAGCGATTCACAGGGTCAGCCACCTGGGTCAGATCCAGCTCTAAACATCCCTGAAGTTCGGGAGTGTCTGGAGTCAGTGTGCCCCACCTTGACAGAGAACGGTACGATTCTGCTCTCCCTTAGGCTGGCGTGAATGAGGAGCGGCCCCCTGGGAATCGATGGAAGTGGATGGTGTAAAACCAGCCAGAGCGAGAAGGAAATTGGGCCTGGTTATACACAGTAAATCAGGGGTGGTGCTGCCAGCTTACTTGTGCTGTCTCCAAGGGGGCCGTAGCTTCAGAGTCTCCCCCCAAAAGAGATGGGGGAGGGTCAAAGCTTATAGGACAGGAAAGGACCTTTCCTCTGTCCCAGTCGGCGTCATTCAAGAATCATCCGCATGCCCTCTGGGAAATGGTTCCTGTAAATATTAAAAGAGAGCAGGGGTGGGGGGAGAACCGCCCTTGGATAATACGATGAGATAGTGAATATCACCCATAAGCTGCTAAGCCTCCATAAAGCTCCCCCTATTCACACTGACTTCTGGCCACATCTGCTCCCAGGTTTATTTTTATCCGACTATTAAACACTGTGGGAAGCATGTCTGGCGAATGGCTGCCTCCGCGTGCACCGCAGGGCTGGCACCCCACTGAGTCCTGGCTCACACGCACTCGCATTATGGGATGTTAGCATGGCCCAAGCATCGCCTTGGCCTTGGACGGAGGGGGCACAGGCTGGCACCTCTCCGCGCATGCACTGGGCTATCGGCATCAGCTGGGATCATGCCAGGCCCTGTCCTCGCCAAGGCAGGACCAGAGGCTCAGCGAGATGAAGTGATTTGCCCAAAGTCACATACCCCAGTGAGCCGCAGAGCTGGGACCAGAACCATGGCTCCTGACCCCCAGATCCAGGGGCTGGTTCACTCAGCCAGGCAGCCTGGGTCTCCCTGCCTCTTATTTACAGTCAGTGAGATGAGATGTTGGATGGACATAGGGTGACCAGACAGCAAATGTGAAAAATCAGGACAGGGTGGGGGATAATAGGAGCCTATATAAGAAAACGACCCAAAAATCATGACTGTCCCTATAAGATCGGGACATCTGGTCACCCTAGATGGACATGACTTACTGGCAGTATTTCTTTGTGGGGGAGGAATGAATCTGTTTAGAGGACTCCAGCTCGGACCAATGGCAAAGATCCTGGAGCTCTGAGGACTCCAGCACTAACCAATGGCAGAGATCCTTGGGTTTGAAAGTGGCTGGTGATTGGTCATACAGCTGAGACTTGCCCCTGTTCAGCAGGGAGCTCCTCTCAACTCCCTGCTTGGACACATCCCCCTCTGGGGACCATCCATCCACAGAGGAGTCCAGGTGGGCGGGTTACGTACAAAATAACGAGACATTTATTGTTATCAGGTAAAGTGCAACCATCATTTTAGTTTTACCCTCTGAAGCCAGGCAGCCAAGAGGAAGAACAGCCACCAACCCAGAAGAACTGCACCAAAGAGGCGGGGGCAGGGGAGTTTACAGCATGGAAAGGCCCCAGAACCGGCTGTTTGACCGACAGCAACACCGTAAACTACAGTTTGAATCCCAACGCAAACAAGAGGAGGGCAAAGCTCCAGGAGCGGCTGTGATGGGAGCGATGCTGCTGCAGCTGTTGGGGGATGGAGGAAAAGAGGTGATGTTTTATACCCCGGGCATTTCAGTGGCCAAGTCAGGGATGATGCTTTGAAGCCTATAAGCGAAGGGCGGCATTTAGCAACTGCCTGGAATGTTATTTGAAAGGAAGCTCTGCTCTGAAATACAGGTCTGGATGGCAGCATAGGCACGGTCCCAGCCTCTGCAGTTGGTTGGACCTCAGTTCTGCAGCAAGGCCCCTTGATTCTGCATCATTCTGGTAGAAATTCTGTCCCAGCTTCAGATGAATTAAAGAATGGAGACAAAAGGCACTGGTGGGATCAGCCCATTAGCTGGATGTTTCTGCTAAAACAAGCAGGCGTTAAATAGTAATGTTGATATTTGGACCCTCATTAGTTTTCAGAGTTAACACCCCACTGAGGCAAACGGTTCACATCTCTCAAAGCTATTGCTTCAGGCTGGTTGCACACTCTGGTAGATACCCCTGCATTGGTTACACTTGGGCTACAATTGTAAGATTTTTGTTTGTAACTCTGAGGATTAGCAACGATTTTCTCTACTGGAAGCTGAGATTATGAAGCATAGTTCTGCGGCAAGAGATGTATCCCATGACTGACACACAGGGCCCCAGTCAGAGCTTTTCATGTTGTCGTCTCAACAACTCCAGGGCAAATCTGCTCAGTTTACAGTTAACAATTGTTGTTGTTTTTTTCCTTCTGGCACCTCAAACTCTCCCTGGGATCTGACCTGAGCTGGGTTCTTCCTGTTCACACACCACCAGGAATAAAGACTCTACAACTTGAAATGTAGTTTGCAATTCTGTTGCTGATGCACGAGCCAGGAGAGAAGCCAGCTCACTCTCCCACAACAGATCCGGCTCTGATGCGGTAACAGACGTGAAAAGTAGGAAATACTAATTTTCTGGCAGTAAAGTCTACACATGGGACTCAGAAGTTACAGGAGCAGATCTGTTGGCTGCGATTTTTCAGGATGGGAACCTGATTCTAATCTAGCACATCCCAGTTTTACCCTGGCAGTGCTCTCCGGAGTTACTCCTGATTTCCACTGGGGTATCTGAGATCAGAATCAGGCCCTAGAGCCCTTTCTGCATTGCCAGTGAGCAGAGTGACAGCCCCATCGTCTACAGAGATGTCCCGAACTGGGTCTGGATTTTCCAAAGAAAGCCACACAGCAATGTCAGGTCTCTTGCAGTGGGACTGAATGGCCAACCCCTTGTAACGCTCTCTGCTGTTCTCAGTAGACCCAAGGGCACATGCAGGACCATCTGGCTTTTGAAAAATGGCTGATGTCAGAGACACGCAGTGAATGCACAGGACTCTCGAGCTGCTGACTGCTCTGGGACAGAGGGTATTGAACAGGGGCACTGAGCAGGGGAAGAGAATTTGTCAAACAGCACCAAGACGTAGCAGGTGTCAGTCAAGAGTGACTGACAGCCACGGCACTAACCCATCACTGGGCTTGGGCTACTTTCATTTACAGGGATGCATTGCAAAAAGCTAGATGCCGATGCACCAGGGCCTTAGTCTGTTGTTTAATGGGAAACAGGCCTAGCACGTTGATGTACATTCAGACTTCCTGGACCTCTCCTTTGCCTCCTGCCCTGGGTTTGCTGCCAGGTACTGGCACAGCAGGGACTTTAAGGAACGGCTCACCCACTTCACTTTCAGCTAGAAATGGGCCTGGGCCGCAAGGCTTAGATCCGGATCCAAACTGCCTCGAAGTCTGGGGAATTTGGATCAGGATTTCAGTCCCGGCCCATCTCTGTTTCCAGGCTCGCCTTGTTCTGCCTCAGCATCCTCAAAAGGAACCAGCTCGGCAGGCACTTGAGAGCGCTCAACGCATTAGCCGGATCAGGGAGAGGAGGGGCTACTGCCTCTCTATCTTGACATGGTCACCGGTCATCCTTCTGCGGTAGGTGGCCAGGAAGATGTCGTTGTCCCTGGGGCAGTCATGGTGGCAGGAGCACGTCTTGATGAACATTAGCTTACGGTGGAAGAAGTCCCCCTCCGGGCACCGGAACTCCACCTCCGCAGTGCTGGTGGTGTGGGGCGTGCAGCAGCGGCTGTCTGTGCAGCTCCCGCAGAACTTGGGCCGGTAAGAGCGGACGCTGGTGCAGCCCGAGAACTCAAAGCGGATTCCCCGACGGGACTTTGGGGTCCGCACGCACTTCTTTCCTTTCTGGGGAGAGAGCAGCAGTAAGGAAAGAGTTAACCTGGCAGGACGGGATCGCGCTATGGAAAAAGGCACGGGGGGGGGGAGGGGGAGTAGAAAAACACTCAGAGGAAATACAAGTGGTTTTGTTTGGGTTGAAATTCATTGGTTTTCTAGGAAAAAAAATTCAAAATTGTTGAGTTTTTGGAAACATTTTTTGTTTCGGTGTCACCGGCTCTATTGGGGAAAAACAAAGCAATGAAACGTAGCTGTGGGGAAAGAGTTTTAAAAAGCGGGAAGTGGGATTTTTCCCACCAAAATGAGAAAAAAAAATTAACATTTTTCCAAGGTTATAAAAGGTTGGAGGAAAAATGGGGATTTTCAAAGAGCTCAGAACACTTTGGTGAAGCACTTCGATTGAACCCAAACATCAGTTTTCACTGGATAGAGACAGAGATATAGACAGACAGGTACAAAGTGTTTGACCGGCTCTAGCTACACGACCTGATCCTGCCAGGAGTTCCCCCTGATGTCAATGGGAGTGGAGGGTGCCCAGCACCTCTCAGGACTGGGTCCTGTATGAGCTGCAGTATTAGGGAGAACTGATGTTCCAAACATCCCCTAGGCTTTGAGGGCTGGAGGGGTGAGGCTATGTCTAGCAGTGTGCTTGATGGACCTGCAGAGCGAGCATCCCCGGACCACACCCTCTGTATCAATAGGAGTGGCACCTGTCTATGCCAGGGCTGAACTGGGCCTTTGAATGTTAGCCAGGACGGGTGGGCAATGACCAGCATCTTGGGGGATCAGCTGGTGCCTCCTGACCATGTATCCGTAGTTTCATAGATTGTAAGGCCATAAGGGACAATTAGGTCA